CCCCCCCCCCTTAGTTGTCTTTGGAAACGGATTTGTCATTTATGACAATGCCCCACGAGTTTCGGGGACGCTTGAATCGTGTGGTGCGAGGAATGCGGCTCAGGCTGACTAATGGTCCCCTGAGGCCTGCGAGGAATGCGGCTCGAGTTGACTTGGTGTCTCCGAGGCCTGCGAGGAATGCGACTAAGTTAACTTTGTGTTTCCGAGGCCTACGAGGATGGAATTGACAGATATATGGAATTGACGAGATATTTGGAATTGACGGAATAATACTAGAATTGACGGTACTAATGGAATTGACGGAATATGGATGGGGGTACGTCCGGGTGGAGAGTTTTCTAAGATAAATAATTTTATATAAATTACAACCAATTTCTTAAGTTATGAGTTTGACTTATAAGTTAAAGAGAAGAACCTATATTTCAGTAAGTTGTTGTCGCTGGCATTAAGATTTCACTTGATCAATGTTATTTTAATAATTTTCTCGTTTCCCTACAATTCTATAAAAAGTTAATTATAGATCTTTATAAATATATATGTATTTATAATTGAGTTTTATGTAAGTTTCGAAGGGAAGGTTAAAAATGTTTTCGACGGTGTTTGTTTATTTGTATCTTTATTTTTATTTTTATTATATATATATATATATATATGATAATCCAAGCCAGTGATACATCAATGGATTCATGAATAGGGATGGCAACAGGTCGGGTAGGGGCCGGGTACGACAATACCATCCCCGTCCCCGCTCTCCATCGTTTAATAGGTTTCGGGGAATCCCTGTCCCCGTACCCGTTAGGGGACTATCCTCCATACCCGCCCCAAATCCCCAATTTTTTTTGCATAAAAAATATTTATCATACATTTTAACATTAAGTTTCATATTAAATTTTCATTCAACACATCCAAATTAACTAAAAAGTTCAACTCAACTATTCAAAATCACATCAATATAAAATTCCATAGAAGAGTAGGAAGAATTAGGAGAGGGAAGTTAACTTAGGGTTAAACATAAATATTATAATTATATATTTATTTATTTAAATATAAACATATATATTTTCGGGTCGGGTTCGAGGATGGGGACGCCAATACCATCCCCTCCCCATACCTGTCGAGGATTTTTCAAGTTCGGGGATCCCCGTACCCAATGCCCGTTTGGCCCTGAAATCTCCCCCCATTAGGGTCGGGGACCCGACAGGGACCCGCCCCGGCGGGGATTTTTGACATCCCTATTCATGAATTAGAGGAAGTCCAGTAAGTGGTTTATCTATGCTATGAGTATGAGTTGTTTTGAGAATAGGGAAAGTTGGAAAGTTTACTGCAGAATTTGGGAAGGTTATTGAATATATCATTAATATAAGACTTGGGTTGATTTGCAGCTATTTTGCTATATTTAACAATAATAAAGATTTGTATGTGCATGTTAAAGAGTTAAAAGAACTACGTGTGGCTTAATCCCTCAATAAGGGTATGTAGGCAATCTAATGTTATAAGGTGCAGCCACGAGTTAGTGTGTTTGAAATTGCTAATGTATTATTATTGATCTAAAAGTTGAGATGAATTTTAGATGACACAACATTTATTTGGGTCAGAGAGGCCTGAGGCCATAATAAATTGATGTTGGTCGCTTGAATGGTATTATTGTGCATGCTGAATGTTGGGATTATAAAAATTATGTTTTATACAGGTAAAAATTTGGGAAAACGAGCAAATTTACAAGGGTGACTCTGCCGAATTTTTGGTAGAAGTCAAACTGGTAGAAAATTTGGTTTCTAGTTAGAAGGGCATTGGGTCATTTGTGCATGGCTCCCACCAGGTGTCGAACACGCACAGGGTTCGGCTCAGATTCCAAAGTGAAATTTGGGTCAGGTCCTGTCACCAACCACTCCAATTACGGTACGAACATCG